TTCCATAAGGATTTCCAGCTGTGGAAACTCCGAGGTGCAGTTCTGTCTTGTGGGTGAGTTCAGCTCAGACTTAAACTAAACCCACCGTCATTGAGTCCATTCCAGCTCGCTGTGACCGTACAGAGAGCACAAGTGTCCACATACATTCCCAAGGTGGCAAATCTTCATGGAAATACACTGTGTCATCTTGTTCCTTTGAACAGCTAGTGGATTTGAACCACTGACTTTCTAACTAGATGCTGAATGCTTACATCAGTGAGTACCAGAGCCTCCTCTCTCCAATCTAGAGATGACCAGCTTGTCTTGGTTTATTTGGGATTTCCATGGTTTTCGTCTCCACGGCCCCATGTCCTGGGAAATCCATAAGCTGCTCTTCCTGGTTGATCATCTTGCAGGCCCTGCTTCAAGGCTGTGTCATGAGAGCTCACAACCCCTTGGGTGCAGAGCAGTCTTTAAGCAGGCTTTTAGGCAGGCGGCCTTTAAGCAGGCTTGAAGGAAGCAGGCTGCAAAGATCTACACAGCTGGGGACACAACAGGGATCAAGGCTAGGTGCTTGCCTTCCAGAACTTTCTGCAGGCTAAATGCCTCCTTAACTCAGGACATCTCTCTGTTTTGGTCTTCCCTCAGTCTTCCTACCTGTAAAATGGGTGGGGGCTGAATTGGCTGAATGAGCTGACGACCAGCGGCAGAGAAGTGGGTTGACGTTCTGGATTTTTCCCTCTCTGGATTTCCTAGGGTCTTAAAATGTTCTAGAATGTTCTAAGTAAAGCTCCTTGAAGAGGGTCTTGGGAGGGAGCTGGCTCTGGCATAGAGTGGGAGTAGAGCCTTGAGCCCTGGGGTGGCGGGGGGGAATGCAACCCCACACCAAGCCCCTTTAGTCTGTGAAAAGAATTGAATAGGCTTTAAGTATTTGCCAGGTAGCAGGTCTCCAGCTCTCTTGGCCAAGGAAAGTATTAGGAAAGAGATGTTCACATCATCATTACCTAGTACCTGTATTCCCAGGTGCTTGTCAAAGACACCACACCTACTTCCCCCCAGGGTGAACTCTTGTGGGCACTTTCTCTTCGAAAAGGCTCCAACAGGACTGGCCAGAGGAGCCCCTTTGAGGCTTGGGGATGTAACTCACATGTGGGGGCGGTTGAGTGCCCGCACAGAGGCACCCTGGAGGAAAGGCCTGGTGATATCCTGACCCAAGGCTGGGCCTGGGGAGCTCAGTTCTGTGCTGAAGCACATGTGGTCACCATAGGCCAGGATCAACTTGATAACAACTATTTCTTTTTTTTTCTTATTATTTTCAATGAACATTTACAGAGATTGTGGATTTCCATTCATTCATTGTTGCACTTTTCTTCCCGCCCACCCCACCCCCACCCCCAGTTCACTCTTCTTTACAAGCAAAAGAAAAACTCCTTCATTGGTATATAATCCCCCCACACACCCCCTACCTCCACCCTGAGTATACTCCACTCTGCGACCCTCATTCCAAACTCTTATGATAATCATAACGCCCTAAAATATGTTATTTTTAGACTGTTCTCTCCCTCATCGGCTTCAATGCAGTATACATAATTTATCCATTTTTTTCTCAGACTTACCCCTACCCTGACGTCAGCCTCATTCTACAACAGTAGTTTTGTTTTTTCTTTTTTAAATTTTGTTGGTGTTGTTGGTGTTGTTGGTGTTGTTGCTCTTGTATACCAGAACCGACCCATAGCTGACCCTCCAGCGGGTTTTCGGAGGCAGTTAATCACCCGGGGAGAGATCAGCAACTTAGCAACTTTTAAAATTCTCTCTCTCTCTCTCTCTTTCTCGTTGTCGGTTCAAATCCACAATTGGAGGCCCCTCTGAGTGGGTATCGACTAGGTAGTGGTTTTGGTGAATAGATATCCACGTCTGTGTCCACACACATATACATGGAAATACACACATAAATTGTGTACTTTTATGCATATACATAGGGAGCTCTGACAGCCTAGTGGTAAGAAGCAGCACTGCAATTCCAGAGGCGTGTGTTTCGAGTCCACCAGATGCTCTGCTGGAGAAGGAGGGGCAATCTCCTCCTGTACCAGTCAGATCTGATTTGATGGTACACACACACACACACACACACACACACACACACACATATTAAAAAAACAAAAAGGGGTTTTTTTTCCTTACTGTGTGCTGTTGAGTTGGATCTGACTGGTACAGGCGGAGATTGCCCCTCCTTCTTCAGTGGAACATCTGGTGGATTTGAACCACACACCTTAGGGAGGGACAGAGCGGGAGGGGAAGACCCTCTATGAGGTGGATTGATTCAGTGACTGGGGTAATCGGGAAGGGCGTATCGGAGACAGTGCGATTGGCACAGGACAGAGCAGAGTTTAGGGCTGTTGTACATAGGGTCGCTATGAGTCGCAAGCAACTCAGCGGCACATAACAACAATACATCTAATATATAAGGTGTGTGTGTGTGTGTGTGTGTGTGTGTGTGTATACACTTTGCAGTCAGAGTAGACACAAGTATTGGAATGGGAGGGAAAGAATTACAGGCTCTTTCAGAGTGATTTGGCTCTTGTTCCTTTAAGAAATGGGCTTGCATGTGACCGTCTGGGACTCAGTTGCTGCACGTTGTACTAAACGCGGAACCCCCACAGGCCACCTGCTTTACAGACAACATCCTTTCTGATTCGTTTTAATTGCAATAAGTAGTAAGTGAACAAAATAGAAACCTTGACATTTCTACCATATGTGCAGGTTGAGATATTCTGGCAAAGTGCTATGTGTAACTATTTAAAAGCATGTTTTACCAACGCGATACATATTCCATGATCGCAGATCAGATTTGCACGATCAGATTTCACCTGGTTCACTCATGAAACATCTGGACCTGGCCAAGGCATACAAATGAAGGTCTATTGGTGGCTGCCTGGAGCGAGGGCGGGCCCTTTAGGAGTAGGGCTCTCATGTCCTGTGTTGTTGTTGTTTGTTGTACAGTCAGAACTGATTCACAGCTGACCCTACAGCGGGTTTTTAGAGGCAGTAAAACCCAAGGTGGGTGATTTTAATCTATGGCCCTCAGGCCTGGTTCAAATTTGTTTATTGTGAAACGTTCTTTTAGGTGGTATAGCCCTGGTCTGTGCATTGCTGTACAGAGGTAACTCGTGGTTGCTGTGATGCTAAACACTGTGACACTAATGTGCCAAATGTGACAATGGTCATCCATGGTGGACAGTGTTTGGTGGAGCTTCTATATTAAAACAAGCTTGAAAGCAGGAGTGGCTTCCACTTCTGAAATAGCTTGCCTCCAGAAACTCTATGAACAGTGCTCAAGTCTTCCATTCATAGGGTCACTATGAGTTGTCTAGGACTTGATGGCACCTAACAACAACAACAAACTGCGTGGGAGAGATTGCCCCAGGGCACCCCCTTACCTGTAAGCCACCACAGCTCCCTCATGTCCCATCTGGGACATTCAATTGGATCCCCAGTCCATGCACTTATGCGCGTCCACCATCCACCCGTCAGAGGACTGAGAGGTGTGAGGCTGCCAAGCAGGCTTCAGGGGAGCTTCCAGATCAAGGCAGACTAGGAAGAAAGGCCTGGCAATCTGCTTCTGAAAGTCAACCAGTGAAAACCCTACGGATCCTGTCAGTCCCCCCCCCCCATTACGGGCCAGGGGATGGTGTGGGACCAGGCAGAGCTTTTTTCTGTTCTGCGTGGGTTCACTGTAAGCTTGGTGGTGTTGGACAAGAACAGCACTAGGGGCAGGAGGGCGAGATAAGGAGTAGTCAGGGGATGCCGAGTTGCTGTTGAAGCTGCTGGAATCGTTTGGGAATGGGGAGTGAAAACCATTGCAGAACATGATGAAAGGAATGCATGTGGCTAAATTATACATATGAAAATGTGTTGTTGTTATGTGTCATCAGGTCTCCCACGACTCACAGCTGACCCTACGTGCAAGAGCTCTGAACTCTGCTCTATCCCGGTCTAGAAATAGCAAATATGTCGTAAGATACAGTTTTAGCAAAATTTAAAAGAAAAAAAACCGTGAGAGAGCTCCCAGTCTGTGGCTGGCAAAGAGTCTCTCTTGCATGATAGATCTTTTTGTTTGGCAAGAGTTCTTTTTATTTATTTTTCATTTCAATGAACATCTACAGAGATTTTGGAATTCCATTCATTCATTGTTGCACCGTTCTCCCCGCCC